TGGAGCTGGGAGCCACTGTCCTAGGGCTCATGCATGGGCCCGTGCCCCTTTGCTCTTTGCTCCTTGTCTTTGCTTTGGGTGGTACTTCTGCTCCATATTTCTGCTTCTCTCATGGACTCATACCATGTTTTCCTGAAAATAAGACAGGGTCTTATATTATTTTTCCTCAAGAAGACACCTTAGGGCTTATTTTCCCCTCAAAGCCTCAGCTTGCAGCACACACAGGATGGCCGGAACCTGACAGGGGGAGCTGACCTTGTTTGTGGGGTTGCCTGCACCTTTCCGGTCATCTCTGGGATAGTAGCTGTCATGATGGGGCAGATAAGAAGGGCTGCCCGTCTTCTTTACCGCTCTGCGAGGAAATGCATGGGCTGTGCAGATACGCTGCATAGCCACGGCCATCACTAGGTCTTATTTTTGGGGTAGGCTTATATTATATTGCACAAATGCTTAGAAATCCTGCTAGGGCTTATTTTATGGGTAGGTCTTATTTTCGGGGAAACACGGTAGTTATTGAGAGGGGAATGAATCCTCATCGCTGAATGACTAGGCAGCTAGTGGCTGAGTTAGCTCCCTTGGTCACCTTCGGTCAGGTAACTGTGGCCAAGGGCTTTGGAGGGTTCCTCAAAAGGGCGGCATAGTTATCCATAAGCTGTCACAATACTGAGAAAGAAGTTCAAGCAAGTGGCAGTTCAAGTGTCTGCAAGAGTTTCATGGAGGAGAAAGGGCTAAGGCTGAGATCTAGGTCGGTGCAGCCGAGGGGAGATTGAGGACCTGTGAATGGAAGAGAGAGAAGGGCCAACCCTGATCAGAACTGGGACGCAGGGGCAGGAGGAGTGGGAGATGGGAGCCTAGGTAGGTACCTGTTTTCTATCTCTGCTCTTCTCTTTTGCTCCTGAAAAGTTGGTAGATTTGATTTGATAGATAAATAAGGATGTAAATGAGATTATTTTAAATGAAAAGTGAAGATGTATTGGTACTTATGTCGGATAAAGATAAGTCAAAAGTGATTTACCAGTGTTCTTCCTGGATCTTTCTGCATAGGGCTAAGGTAGATAATAAGAAGTTGGATGTTGGTTGTTGTGGGCCAGTTTCAAAGGCTTCTGTTTGGTTTAAATGTGTTGAGCTTCATATATGTTATAGGATAGCTAAGTGTCTGAGTAAGTCCTGGGTTGGGAGATCAGGAGTTGGAGATAATATTTGGGGTCCATAAGCAACAGGACATCCTTGTAACAAAAGTGAGCAAAGTTCAGGGAGAGTACCAGAAAAAGAAAAAATGATCAATGGCTTCATCCATAGGAAAAAATTAAGAGCCGGCAATTGATATTGCAGGCAGTTGCCCCGTCTTCCACACGCCACACACCATTGGCTGTGGGCACCTGAGAGTCCACCCTCACACCCAGTGCCGTTTCCCGCCCAAACCCCGCAATCCTGGCTTCTGACTCTGTGTGGGGATTTATCAAACCAAAGGCCAATTCTTATCATAAAAATTAGGTTCTAGGGCCATCAGTGAAGATAAATATGGGTGCATATAAAACAGCTTACAATACTGAAGGGTTCACTGAACACATTCACTTCTTCCTTCAAGCTCAGGTGAGGCATGGCCTGATGGGGCCTTTCTTGCGTAGCCTCAGGCTGTTTCTGTGGTGAAGAAACCCGAGGGTGATGGCATTACTCGGTGAAGTTACTGAATGTGTTGAATCGTATGCCTGAATGGGGTGGATTTTATGACATGTAAAATATGCCTCTACAAAAATATTTCTCAAGATGTTGATATGTAAATATACTTACTTTTTGTTGTTAAAACAAAAAAATGAGTCTCAAGTCAGACATAGGAAGTTCCAAGTTTTAAATCATGCCTTGGTCATAAGCAAACTGAGGAATCTTGGCTCTGGGAGAGTTGTCAGAATTCTAGAGAATTCTAGACGCTAACTTCAGATTAGATTCTGGAATCAGTTTGGAAAATACAAAATTATTTACGAATTTGCATTTTGACAAGAAGTTCAGTCACCGCCTTCTGTAGGGTTCTATCTTGTGTTCAAGAGAGAAAAATTCGAACCAGAGCAGTTGGGAGGACTCTGACTGGTTATGTAATGCCATGGGCTTCAAGGGAGCTCTGTCTCTCTTTCTCTTTCTCCTGCCTCTCAATTTTTCTCTTTTGCTCTCCTCACTTTACTTTTTTACATTAGTAATACATAGTCACTCTAGAGCTAGAGTAAGAAAAAGTTGTTAGAGAGTGCATCCCAACATATTGCCCAATTGTTTCCCCAAATCTACCTGCTCAGTGCAGGATTGCAGTGATGTGGGTTTTCAATAAATGTGAATCCAAAATGTGATCTGGCTGCTGAGATTTACTGCAATTATGGGCTTTGTCATTGGATATATCCTGTGCAGGACGGGGGAGGTGGTGTTACCACTGCACCCAGAGGTATGCAGACCGTACCTGGTGTATTGATTCTAATCCTGGGCTCCAGGCATTGAGTGATACTAGCCACCTGCCTTTGTGCTTAGGCAATGGCCAAGACAGGACAGTGTGGCTTATGAAGGGTAATTGAGGCACCCAAGGCATGGTTGCTTGTGAGGAGTCTGGAAAGCCTATGATTAACTTTCTTCAAGTATTTGAAGAGCTGTCATGTCAAGAGAAATTAGATTCACATTGTATGGTTGCAGAGGCAGAGTAGGCAACAATGGTTAGGAGTTCCTGGAAGGCAAGGTTCTGTTTAATGTAAGCAAGCCCTTTCTGTTAGTCACAGAGCAGTCTGAGGATGGATTGGGTTCTCCCATGAAATAGTGACTACTCTTCCCTCTCCATCCCTGGAGATATTCCAGCAAGTGAATAAATGTCATCTGGATGAACAAGTGTAGCATGTCCATGGAGGGAATTCATCATAAGGGTCTGATTTGGAGACCTCTGGGAAAATGACCATGAGGCCGTGAACTTGAAATCACGGCTCTAATTGTGACAGTCTACCACAAAGCCTGATGAACACATTCTTTCTGCAAACACCATTCATTCTCTTGTTTCTTAGAGGAAGAAAGTGACTATGGAACTTCTAATCTCACATTTTATACACTCAACTCATTGGAGAATGAGAGTTGAAGTCTTGGATGATCTTTGACATTCGGTTATTTGAGTAGTTGTGTGAGGCTCTGGCTTTTCTCGTTTGTTTTTTTATTTTTCTTGTATTTTATGCCGATTGCCAACCATGAGTCTTTAAGACCTTAAGATTCTCAAATCTGATAAAAGATAAAGGGATTGTTTTCACATACTAGTCATCTCTGTGTAGCCCTTTCATCTTTTTCTAATTTGAATATTGCTTCCAACATTTAAAAAACTGAACCACACTTCAAATGTTTCTAAATTTTGCCCGTGTTAAAAAGTTGTAACTTTTCCATTAAAGATATAACAAGCATTTTAATTATGCCTTTACTATTTTTTAATGTGTGTTTTCCTTGTTTTGGTATTGATACTTTGAGAAGTTAAAAAAATAACTTGACAGGCCACAAAATTCATGAGACTATGTGGGAAGATTACTCATCTGATTTTAATGTTCCTCAAGCACAACTGAATAAAAAATAGCCTAACCTCTTGCCCTTCAAAGCTTGGTCTGGCTGAATCAGAATGTGCATTTCAACGAGCTGCATTTCCTCCCAGGTGGCATGCCACCAAACCTGTGGGGAACGGTCATTATCTCACCTTTTGTTTGTTTGTTTTGTTTTCGAGCACCTGTTAAAAAGTACCTGGCATTGTGACCATGTTCTTTCACAGGCATGAGCCCATTTAATCCACCCGGTCAGCCTTCTAAAGGAGGTGTCATTAGAGGCTCAGAAAAGTTGTCACTGGGCCTGCCAAAGGTGTCACTAAATGACACTTTCTGGAGTCTGCATGTCCTAAACCTGAGAGGGGAAAATTGAGGCCCAGCTCTGACTTGCACAGCCTGTACTTCCTGGCCAAGCCCAGCGCCCCGGGAGGACTGCAGAGGCTGCATCTGCCCCGCCAGTGGGTGGCAGCCCAGTGCTCAGCCTCTCACCATTCACAGTTCAGTTGAGGCTTGGTATGAAGGGCCTTGGGAGGAAGCCACTTCTTCCAGACACTGGGAAGAGCACCTTGAACGCTGCGCTTCTCATCTGGAGCTTGGCTTCCCGAAGCATCCATTAGAAAAGAAGTTTAGAGGCCTAGACAAACACACTGCTCGGAGGATGCCTGCATCAAAATAGGCTGTGTGTGTGAGACACTTGTTAGAAACCAGTTCTGATCTTCTGTTACTGAAGCCTTTGTGACATGCTGTTTTTTTGCATTCTATTTGACAGGGGAAATAAAATCGATGCTAAGAAGTAGCCTTTAATTACGAATATTTTGGTTTTCCTGCGTACATTCCTCTTGTCTTCCTAGATGCCTAAGAATAAGTGTGTTTGTCACACTTGGTGCACTTCTGAAAAATAATGACTTTTACTCCAGTAGTAAACTCACAACTGGGAAATGTCAGGATTTCAAATTTTTCCATAAATGTGAGATTCCTTTCCATCCTGTGGGGGGAAAAATGCAGAGATTACAATTATATACCACTTAGCAAAATGAATTCTGATAACTAAATCAAAATTAGTGAAATAATTAGGATTAATTTATGCAAGTTGCAATTGTTCATCTACCTACTCAGCACTCAAGACTGAAGTCCTAGATGGGATCTAAAAAAGGAAGAAACATTCTAGAACCCGCCAAACCTTCTCTGTACTGTCACAAGGTTTTTTCTACCTATTCTTTTAAAAGTCTGGGCCTCATTTAACTCTGCTTGCTCACTGCCACTTGATGGTATTTTTGTTTCTCTTTAGGTATCATCCTATTTTCTTTTTCTTTACCACTGACGATGAGCTTATTTCTTATAAATGCATAATATATTAAATACATATGCATTTAATATATTGTTGATTTGTCTGTGCATTGTTTCTCTTAAAGGATGCATCTGGGGAAATGAGTAATTTTTCATATCCTGTTCTTGCAGGAAGAATTTTAAATCGCTTCTCCAAAGACATTGGACATTTGGACGATCTGCTGCCCATGACGTTTTTAGATTTCATCCAGGTAAAAATGTAACAGTAACGTCAAGTCCTCACACATGGACAACTGAAGTTCTGTTTTTTTCGTGGCCTTTTCATGGGTTTTGGGAGTGGGGCTCTCAGCCTGGCAGCGTGTAATGTTAACTTAATAAAAGGCCGTGTTTGTAAAAGAGAGGTGTGGTTGTGATTCGGAGGCTAAGTTAGCATGAGTAATAGCTCGTGTGTGGGAGTGGCCACACTGCCGAGGCAGGGTTGGTTCGCAGCAGCTACATGCGAGGGAAATAGCTCTCCCTCTGCCTCCCAGGTATCTGGCATGGATTTTGCTTTACTGTGAACAGATTTCATAATACAGAAACAATCACCTCGCACGGAAAGATAGCCTAGATTAACTAAATTATGCATTGTATTACCACAAAGAGCAAATATTTACTTCACCTTTTTTTTTTTTTTTCTGGATAAAACCAGGTGTGGTTACTTACAAAGAAAAGATTAGTAATAATAAGGTGAAAATAATACTTTGTTAACAAGGACAATAGAGGGCAGTTATTGCAGATACAAAGCCTTTAAAGGCGAGGATGTTTAAGCCAATTTGAGTACAAGATCAAAGTCATTTCAGAAAATGTCTTTTTCGTTTCTTCTCAGCAGCTTTTCTTTTCACACATTGATTGCTCAAAGTCTTAAGCTGTCTTTTAAAAAAATAAAACCCAACAATCCCACAGAAATACTTTTTATAAAGCGTTTGTTTAGTCTGTGAACTCGAGGTTCTAAAGAATAATGTTGGGTCATCTCATCTCTCATCTCCTCATTCAGTATTGTTGCTCATGTGGTTGTTGTTTTTTTCTTTCTTTCTTTCTTTCTTCCCCTCGTTGTTTAATTCTGCCTATATTTCAGTGATTCAGGCCGGGGAAGTTTTTTTTTTTTTTTCTGAGTGTTTATTTTGGAAATGAAATGCATCTATCAAAAGCTACACATATTCCAAAATCCCAGCAGCTATTACTAACACTTCAAGAGTTTGAACCGTTTTCACTTTCCTTGAGTTCTAGTTTATAGTGGTCCCAGTCTTGAGCTGAGTTTAAGGCCAAGAAGTAGAAATGCTAACACTGGGGTCTGCAATCATGGCTATATCCTGATGTTCCCCTCACCTGGATCCCCCTAGCACTCCCCTTTTTATTTTTTTTTCACAATGCTCAAATGTTCTTCATGTCAAAGCTTCAGATCTCCTCTGGAGCCACTGTTATAAAAGGAGTCACAATTACTTAATTTGGAAAATTAGCTATGTCAGAAAAATCAGTCGTAGGCTTGAAATGATTACAGGAATTCCTGTTAGTCACACGGAGAGGCAGCCATGAATATATGACTGCAAACAGCATAGCCCATGGGCAAAGGCATTTGCAGAAGGAAGTTGAGAGTCACAGGTGGGGTATTTTCACTGCGAAGAGGGACCTCTGATTTTTTTTTTTCCCTTGCTGCAAACTTATTTCAAAAATGTGTCCTGCCGAGTTTAGCTGTGTTATTGATCCCCCAGAAGCAGTCTTTCACTAAAACAGTTTCATGGTTTTCATAGCATGCAGATGACTGTTAATACATGTTTTGACAGCGATTGTTAATTACTTCGAGAAGATTTTGCGGAAAGTTCTTTTTCTTTGCAACTGCAAACGGCTGGCCCACTGTGTGCTTAGCAGAGTGAGCCATCATAATTAGAATCCCTCATGTGTTTTTGTGTCACAAATGAAGGGACAGGGATGGATGGTACTTGATTTCAATGTAAAACATTCTCGGCAGCAGGAGAGAAAATTCTAGTCTCGTACTTCTATTTAACCAGAGAGACAGGGTCTTTTTTTTATTATCCACTCACATAATCTTGGTAAACTTGCCATTCTTGAATACGACTGGTCCCAGTCAGCTGATTTCTTGAATCTACAGCAAAGGCAAATCTTAATGTTATTGTCTCCCAGAAAGGAGGTTTTTATATAAAGGATAACTCAGTTATCAATTATGATAAAGATCTATTGTCACTTGTTTTGTTTGCAGGTGTCTTTAATAAAGCTTCCCATAATCCTTTCAGGAAGAAATATTTTCTCCTTTTAAAAATAGTATTAGCTAAATATAAAAGCTCTGATCCCTGCCATTGTTGTTGATTCTTTGAGGGACATTTCCCAACATTCATTGTTTAAATGGTTGTCAGGAGGAATCAAGTGAAACTTAATAAACAATGCAGTAACTGGTTCATCTTACTTTGTGTGCAGAGCCTTTCTCCAGAGGATTTGCATTCGATGAGTGGGCTTTTGACTGAGGTATCGCCAAGATCATTTTGAAGTATTTGGGCCTGTTGCTATATTATAATAGAAAGTGAAGATTTTTATTAAAGCCACAAAAATGAATTTAACCTGCCCTCAAATAAAGGGCAACAAAAAATCTCAATGTAAATTGATTTTTTTTTTTTTTAAGTTGCATAGGACTCTGTAAGTATGAAAATAACCCAGTGGTGTTCTGGGACTCTTAATGGAATCATGTAAACTTAAAATAAACACTATTATGGTAAGCACATAGAATGAAAACTAATTTTCCAAATCAAATACATTATATTCAATTCATTTTCCCCAATCAACCAAATGTTTAAAACCTGTTAGTTATAACAGCAATCTTCTGGAAATTAATTAGAAGCCTATTAGCTCTGCTAGCTGAGCCGAGTGAAGGGGTTGCTCAGTACATTTCTAAGCAGTCTCCTGAGCTAAAGCAAAGCAAGGTCAAAATGACAATCAGCTTGGCTCAACTCACAGCTTTGCTTAAGTAGGTGATCGTTCTTTTGGGGAAGGGGGAGAGTTGTTTTTCAAAGGAAATTTTATCTGCTTTGACTCAGTCGTCTAATACAGGCGTCCTCAAACTACGACCCGCGGGCCACATGCGGGTGTTTTTGCCCGTTTGTTTTTTTACTTCAAAATAAGATACGTGCAGTGTGCATAGGAATTTGTTCAGAGTTTTTTTTAAGCTACAGTCTGGCCCTCCAGCAGTCTGAGGGACAGTGAACTGGCTCCCTGTTTAAAAAGTTTGAGGACCCCTGGTCTAATAGATTTTAAAAATGTAAGCACCAGTCAGGTAAAACCATACAGGTATAGCATGAATATGTGAGCAGTCGCGCCTTCTCAGTTGCGTGGGCGTCCGAAATGGGGTGACTTTTAGGCCTCTTGTCTAGCTCATCTGGTCGTCTAAAGGGTTTCCTTAGTCCCCATTTCAAAATGGAGGTAGTAGAAAATTTCCTGCCAGCCTTTGATTTGAATGTCATTAGTAAATCCTGCTGGTGACATTTGGGCACCATGGGTTTTAATGTCTCTCCTCAGATCCTGTGGGGAGTGATCAGTATGACTGGCAAGTCCTCCTGTGTGCGGGGAATCTCACAGAAAGTGAGGCCTTCTCAACTCAACAGCTGAGGTTGGGTGAAGCAGTTGAGTTTTGAAAGGACTGGGAATTTCATTGTCAAGAAGTTTTCGTTGGTGTTAACTAGCAGGAGAATGTAGCTCTTACTGACCTGTAGGGAAACTACTTACCATCTATGGATGGTACAAATAGAGCCAAGGAACTTGACAGGATTATAGTCACAAGTACAGGGTGTTCAAAAGCCACTACACATAGGGAAAATAGGAAATTGTACCTAAATGTACCTTTATTTACAAAATATTCATTATAAAATTTTACAGAATTTTTCCTTTGTATGGAGACTTTTGGTACACCCCGTAGAATCAAAATCCAAAGAAAGCTTAGATATCTTTATGAAGAGTTGAGCTTTCCACTTGGAATGTTCACACTAAGGCTAATGTTTTTTCCTTGCTAAAGATATGCACATGCTTATGCTTTTCTGGAGTATTAAAAATCAAATAGCTATAGAAATGAAGAATGTAATTACACTTATCCATGTGAACTTTTTAATCCAGCGCATGCATGTTTGATTGCCCTTTCTGTAGAACAGTGACAGTTTCGTTGGTTTTGTAAGTAAGAGTTCAGAACTGTGGACCATTGGGTTAGAACTGAGTGGAGTTTCCAGTAGAGTCTGCCGCGGAGCACTGGAGGGGAGAGACCCCACAGCAGGCGCCCGCCCCCTCCACCCCACCCCTGTTTGGGGCATGATGCCTGGAGTGTAGGCTCTGCAGAAGCTGGTCAGAAATCAGGGACAGATTTTAGTGTTCTACTGAAATCTGAGATAAGGAAATTCACTTAAAGCGTGAGCAAATTTACTGGCCAGACAGAGGTTATTTTTACCTAATTTGTCTCTCGGACTTCAACAGAAGATTTATATTTGTGTGAGCATTTGTGGGTTTTTGTTTGCCTGTTTTTATATATCGGTATCTATACTAATGGGAAACAGTGACACAGCTGGTTCTGAGAATGGGTGTCATTTACTGCTGTCCTGTGTGGACATGGAGGGGTGGGGTCTTTGGGACGTTGGAGCCCGAGTTGGCTCAGGTGTGGAACAGTGTTGAATAAAGAGAGGTGAGTTTTTGACTGACCAAGCTGTCTGGAAGCATAGGCCAGAATTGAGCGAAGTTTTTGAATATATGGCAATAAATATATCACTGGAAACAAATACTTTATAGAATACAAAACAATAATAGTCTGCAGGTTACCTCAGGGTTGCCATGGGCTTATCAGATAAGTAGCCAAGGCTGGCAGTACACCTCTGGCTTATAAAGTATTCAAACACATTTTGTTTGTTTACATTTTAAAAAATCATAACAGCTTTGAGTATCAACAGTATTTTCTAAAACGAAGTCAGTAGAATGGATTAAAACTAAATATCTCTATGAAAAGAAGAATTGAAATACATTGGTGATATTCATCTAGACTTTGTGTCCTTTGAATAGGAATTTGGCATTCTAATCGTAGTGTATTTGAGTAAACCAACAAAGAAAAGCATAGAGGTGATAATTAAAATTCACATTATTAAGTGTTTGATGACTAATATCAGCATACATACCAGCAGCATGAATCTAGTCTTCCATTTTCTTGCTGCAATGATTGCATTAGTTAATA